ATATTCTTCATTTAACGCGTATACGGGCGAAGTAGCAGAAGCGACGTAAGTAACATAAGTGACATTTCCGTCACTTTCGTGTGACCTCGGATCGGGTCAGATCGTCGCTTCGATACGGTCACCGTCCCCGTGACCCGAAAATCGGGTTCACAATATATTAACTTGTGAAGTATATTATAGCTGGATGATTGACCGATAACTGCCATGATCGCTGTTAATATAGCTATAATAAAAAAAGGAGTGCAATTTGACTCAAGTAAATTATGATTTCTCAGTTAAAATGGAACACTTTAGACATTATAAAAAATTAATTTATTAAATCATAAAATGTAGTACAGTACAAGGATTTTTAAAGTGACTCACATAATAATTCAATTACTGTTATGTCAAATATCAATGCGAAAAATCATAATAATTTGATAATTCTAGTGATTCTAGTGTTTCGTTTGGAAACACTCAATTTTAAAATTTCAATATACATTACATCTTCCTTATTATTCGAGTTACTGTTTTTTTAAAGAAATGTCAGTAGATCATAAGTTATGTTTTACAATAATTACAACAGAATTTGGTAAAGATAAAATAAATTTCATAATTTATTTAAGGATATGATAATGGCTTATGTGCTTTTCTTTTTTTTTACATTTTCAATCATGAATGCTCTTATTTATTACGATTAATAACAAATATACAAGTAAACACTGAAAACTGAGTTGAATTTTCATCAGATGAACGTTTGAGCGTCATTAAATTAGAGTAGTAAGTTCCTAGAGAAGGTTTTATTTTGAGGAATTTTATGAATACATTTAATTACTTTTACAAATCACTGTTATTAAAGCAAGAGACAATTGGCTTTGCTTCAATTTTTGTTGTTAATTTTTAAAATTTTATTTTGAAATAAACCATTTTACTATTTAAATATTTTAAAGTAATTTCAGTTTTTTTTAGATTTTTACATCATTGTATATTAAAAATTCAAGATTAAGAATTGTTGAGTCATTGAACATTTATGCTTAGATTTCAAGTATTTGTTACTTGGCTAATTTTGAAATACAGAAACTATAGTATTAAAAACTACAAATGCAATTTAGAAACCTAGCATTAAAATTATAATATGCAGAAAGTTTCCTTTTTTTGAAGCTATTAATTGTTGTATTTGTTTGCAAAAAAGATTTTAAACAAATACTTTATAGTTAGGTTATAATAATAATAACCCATAATGTAATGGTAAATTTTATGTCATAACAGGTCATAAGATTATAATCTATTATTAGCAAATAAGTCTAATTTAATACTAATTTAATACGTACAATAAAAATTTTTCCCAAAAATGCAAGCATAAAACTAATATGTACGCAAGGTAAATTAAGTTTTTGAATGCATCACGATTACCAATCTTTTTATTGATAATTGTTTTTTATTTTTACAGTATTGTTGACGTAGTTTTTAGTAATCGAATATAAAACATCACACAGAAAATATTTTATCATTGCTTTTAACAAAAGGAATTTAAAGTCCTAAAGTTTTCTATTTAAATAAAAGAATCTTTAAATATCCATTAAAAAGCCTTATTGGCTACCTATAATGTAATGTAAACAGAAACTACTATAGCTTGGCCAAAATTAATTTAGTATTGACTTTTGATATTGCGTAGCAAAATTATATCATAGTTTAATATTAAGTATAAATTCGTGTTTACACTTTGTATTGCTGTATTAGACCATTATCATGCACAGTATTACCATTACCGTTACGCACAATAACGATAATTTCTACGCCATGCAGAACTTGAGCAACCTATGACTATGACGATCATTTGACTATGAATATTTCTGAAAATAGTTATATAACAATAGGAATGTTAAAAATAGAATCTATGCAGAAAAGTTAAAAAAATAATGGAGGAGGCTTGTCAAGCTTTTTTGACAAATTAGAAAAATTGTTTCGGGAGTTAAAGTTTAAAAAAAAAAAAAAATTTGATTTATACAATCGCTCTTTATAATCTTGACATTAGCAGCAGATAGTCATACGGAATTCCTCATGTCAAAACTCCGTAGTTTCCTATTTATAAAGTGTGGAATATCGCTTTCAGGATAGCAAATATTAAGGGATTTGAGATTTGCTCGAGTATGGATTCAATGAATACAAATCAAACTGGCTCAAGTGTTAGCGGCTTGACTAGAAATGAACAAATATTGATAGCGCACGGTAAGAGATTATGAAGTATTATTAATAAATCAATAAATAATCTTGCTCAAACTATATATCCAATAATATAGTTGTTTTATCCTTAATTCCATGCCTTATCACCATTCCCCTTGGTATATTCATTGCGCGCTTTCTTCGTAAAATTATTCCGTCAGCGTGGTTTCACTTACATTGGATATTACAAGTTGTTTTTTCTACAATACCTACTATTGTCGGATTTGTAATAGTCCATCATTTCATGGAAAAATCTCACTTTAACTGGGCTGATGTACCACATTCGGTATGTCATCTTGATGGTTTAAATTGATGGAAATATATTCAAACATCGAATTTAACTGTTAAATTTACAAATTAACTTTACAGGCAGTCGGACACGTTTTAACTTTCGCAATTGTTTTCGAAGTCATTTTTGGCGCTCTTTACACTACTAAATGTCATGTAAATAAACTACGCATAGTTCACAAGTAAGTACTTATAACTTCTAAACAAAACCAATAATGCATCAACAAGATTCTGACAAAAAAATTTTGTTAAATAAGCTTTTTAGGTTACTTTATACTTATTCTTGCGCTAGTAGAAACTGTGCTTGGTATTATTCTATGGGAAGTGTCAAATATTTGGCTTTATCTTTTCTTTGTATGGATTGTGCTGCTAGCTTTAATCTTTTTGATTGCTAATTTTAAAACCTGCACAAATAAACAAGTAGAAAAAGAGGCATCAAACATTTAAATTTAAATAGTTTGAAAATTTTTTCAAATAAATATTTAAAATATTAATTTTGAGTCATTTATGATGTATTATTATGTAATATTCTTATTATTGTATATTACTATTATTATTATGTATTATTATTCTTATTAGTATGTATTATTATTCTTATTAGTATGTATTACTATTATTATTATGTATTATTATTTTTATTATTATTAAAAGGTTGTTTTAACATATGATTTTTTAAATTTATAATACCGTATTTTTGGTATTTAATTAATGCAAATTCCAATTTAAGTAAATACATTTAATTATATAAAGTCAATCGACCTAGAAACTTTTAATTAAAAAATATAAACGTTTATAGTATAAATGTCATTTAAAGATGTTACCGAAACCCGGTGATTTGGAACTTGATCGAATCCCAAAAATTGTACTATAGCCTAAACTATATTTGGAATGATTATCAAAACAAACTTTCTCGTACGTACATGAATGAAATATAGTTCTACATGTCGTTTGTTTCAATCATGTGATTAATAAATTGAAAAGGCATCATGCAAAATCTGTTATTGTTAATAAATTACCTGTTATTATGAACGAGCTTAATTCGAGGACCAGGTCTCCGTCAGTGTGTTCCAATTTGTGAAGTCCAAACGAGTAGGATCAGACTTTTAACAGCCACTCTTATTTACTAATATTTATGTGTTTTTCAATTTAATGTACCAAAATGGAACCAATTACAGTTTTGGAACGTCTAAAATTTAATGAGATATGCTTTTGAGATTTGAATGTTTTGAATTCAGGTCACTATAATGTAGTATAGACCTCTCTAAATGAATAGAGAAGAAACTATCGTTAGAGTAGAGCCGTTGCGCAACGATCGTCGAAACGTGACCGAAAACATGACCGGAAGTGCAATCTGGATCGTGACCCAAAACCAGCGATCGTGTAACCCGATTTCTCCCCATTGTATGCAAGAGAAGCCCCAAGATTCGGAACAAGTCACCCACGATGATAAGCCTGAGCCCCACATGCAAAATTGTAACTAACCTAAAAAAGAAAGAAAAGATCAGTAGAATCACCACGACGCGCAAAAGGAAAAAGTGAAGATAACTTACCTTCACGGGCTCGCAACTGAGCCTTAGTACCGCGAAGATGTTTTGGGTTACGAAGCTGTAGATCTATGGGTGGGACCTACAAAACTGAGAAGTTGATGAGAAGAAGGAAGCATGAGTCAAAGGATGAGTTTGTGCAATTAGAATAAAAAGAAAACATTAGTACAGAAAAATGGAAAACGTTCCCAATATACTTCCCTGACAATTCGTTATAAAAAGTCTTCCTTTGGACATTAAGTGGGAGATAGAGACCCCCTTCACCCCTTACTCCTGTATTAAAATAAAGAAAAAGTGATAAAGATTTTTTATAAACACATAAAAAAAAGCTGTCAATAAATAAGAACGCTCTTTAAAAAAATAGATCCTTATCATTACCCGGTAACTTGCTCGAAAGCCGCCTTAGCCATTGCCAAATCGTAACCGCCTTATCTTGCTTTCGAGTAACGTTACTCAACATCGACGTAATCGAAGCGACAATTCATCGCATTTGCTTTATCCTTGAACTCGCCCTATTAGCCCGTAACACTATACAAAAAAAAATCAAAAAAATTCTTGCATTTAGAGAAATAAAAATCTATATGTATTAAATGAGTTGAAGACAAACAAAAACATAAATTTAGAGAGGTTTTTCATATACTACGCATTTAGGGAGGTTGAAAATTTCCTTTTTTGGAAGTGCGAGGAAATTTTCTTCGTTGATCGATGCACTATCCACAACACAAATTATAGAATACAACGTATGGGTATCATAAACTATTTACAAATATGTAAACTAATATTAGTGTATTACATACTGATTTGACCTTTGCATGCCAAGAATGGTCAAAAAGTTGGCGTTCCATAATTATTTCATTAATATGAAACAGTACAAAAAGCTTGTTATTCTGGTGAAAGTTGTGATGCTCAACTCTAGTTAATCCTTAATTGGATTGATAAATACCCTGGTACAGAGAGATCTCTCTAAATGCACCCTTCCTAAATACACCACTTCTCTAAATGCACTTTCAACTTTCAGCCCAATTATATATTTAATTTTTTATAAATGCACATTTTCTTATTGTTCTCTAAATGGATGTTTTAAAAGTTTGTCCCTATTATGCACATTTAGAGAGGTCTCTCTATACAAAATAGGAGGTCTCTATTAATTGAAAGTGGTTTTTTTTAAAAAAAAATTTCGGCCTGATTGTTCTACTACAACATCCACTTACACTAATTCGGTCTTTAGTAAACATTTATGTGTGTTTTGATTGGTTTTCTAATTTAAGTTGTGTAAATTTGACTATGGTTATTTTCTATGTATTTATTCATTTATTACATATATAATGTTTGTTATAAAATGACATAGAAATTGATTTGTAATTCTTAAATTTTCTAACCATGAATAGACGTTCATTCAATTTATTCCTGATCTTTGTCATTTTTCTTTTTGGAATTATCGATGCCAAGCATAAACATTACCAACCTGCTAATGTATGTACTGTTACTGACGTCAGTACTGAAACCGTAACATCTACTATAGACTGTACAATGACGACTCCCACACCATATGATTGTCCTGATACCAAACAAGTGCCTGATAACTGCGATAAATGTGAACAAACAACAACTATAACTTGCATACCTACTACAACAGTATGTAATTCCAATTTTATCTCTGAAGATATTTGTTGTAGTTCTGGTGGACCTGCACGAAATGGTTCGACTACTTTTGGCCAATTAATTAGGTCTATACCACCAACAACCGCTGAAGATTGTTGTAGAGCATGTTATAAAGATTCTAACTGTACTACATATTATTTTTATAATTCTGATGATGGTACAGATTGTGGTTTGTATAATAATGAAGGACTTTGCTATCAACTTAGTTCAACTCCTACCGAAAATGAGGAATATGGAGAAGTAGGTTGTGGTCTTTGCAAACCATAATTTTTAATATAATATGCGGTGATTTTATAGAATATAATTAGTTCTTTATTATAAAATATAACAAGTTTCTTATCCATTTAATTGAATTTTATTGAATATTAATATAATTTTAATATTGAACTGTAGGTTGTAGTTTTTATGCAAAGTTTTTATAGAATACAATTAGTTTTTTATTAATAAATATAACCCATCTCTCTTCTATTAAATGAATACAATCATCCCTCCATATAATCACACAGCTGGGCACATATTAAGTTTTTTTTAAAAAAAAAGTGCTTATAAAGAGGTTGTGCTTATATAGAAGGGTGACTATATGGAGGGTTGACAGTATTAATAAAGTTATCTGCTTTTTGAATTACTCAAAAATTCAACATCCATAAAACAAGCTATTAATGTAATCAGATAAAAATAATTGTAAAAATGAAGCTAAAATTTTAGATTTTTATTTGCTTATGCTTTTTTATTAACTTAAATAACAGTCGATCAAGATGTTACGCAGATCAAGTAAATAAAAGTTTTATTATGAAACTAGGCGCTCTAGTTGTTAAAAATGAGTGTAATATGTATTTGAAAGATTTTATTTTACCTGAGTCAAAATAATTTAACAGAAGTATTTTTATATATCTAACACAAACTATTATAAACTCTGTAATAGTTTGTGTTATAAATATATTAGAAGTAATTTTTTGCTAATATAGTTTTAGATATTGCAGAAGGAGTTTTTTGCTAATGTAGTTTTTGATAGTTTTTGTTAATATAGTTTTAGAAATGCTAGAAATAGTTTCTTGCTAATACAGTTTTGAATATATTAAGGTAAATTTTTACTAATATAGTTAGATAAGTTATAATAGTTTTTGATAATATAAGTATATATATGTTAGAAGTAGTTTCTTGTTAATACAGTTTAAACATATTTGAAATAGGTTTTTTTTTAAATTAGCCTTTTAAAAGGTTAAGGTTTTTATTTAGTATTATAGAATATAAAAACTTATAGCAAAATCTCAAATAAGTCAGCTTTATATTAAAAAGTACAACTGGTTATATGTATGCATTTGGTATCTAATTTAGCAGTTCATTAACTGTTATATTTGCAATTTAACTAAAATATTGTCTATTTAAATCTTTTGTATTGCAATTTATACTGTATACTAAAACATTTCTAATATATATATATTAGTCAAGTAATTTTAAATACTAATTTATATTTTTAGAACATTTATTTTGCTTTATATAGTTTATTTTTAAGTATTTTTATTAGAGTTTTTTATATTTTACATATAGCTAACTTAGTTTTATATAACATATTATAATTAAACTAACACTTAAAGCTTAGTAATTAAAATATTATTCTTTAAACAGTAAATTATATTAATAGTAAAAATTGTATCTGTAGTTGTAACTCTGTAATTCTAATAACTTTAAAAGTATGCAATGTTATACAAATAAATCTAAAAACCATATACTCAATAAAAAAACCCTATTTGAAAATTCTAAGTAGAAAAGTAATATATTTTTTGACAATATTACCTGTAAAAATCTTGATCTAAAGAAGAAAACCTGAAACAAATAACCTATATGAGCAAGAACTTTTAAGTAAAAAGAGTCTACTAATCTAGCTACTAGTTAATCTAAACAAGAAGTTATATTATACAGAATTTATTAGATTGGAAGTATAAGAGAACTTGCAAAAGTAGACAAGATACTAATAAAATTATAAAAGAAAATACTAAAGTTATATGAACTCTACAAAAATATAGCAATTTAATAGTTATCTTTAATTATAAATATTGATTCTAGCTATAATAATATTAAATTTGTTATAAATAAAAATACAAAAGGCTTTAAAAACAATGCTTTATAGATGCAAGTAAAATATTATTATCTTAAAAATATATTAAGCATTTGTAACCTCTTAACTAATATATATACTAGAGAATTTTATAATAATACAAGATAAAATTCTATTACAAAAAGTTTAAATAAACAGTATCTATAATTAGATTGTATATATGTTTAATAATAGGCAATGCACATAGCATGTGCATTTTTATGCATATGATTATATACATTATGCATATAAAATTATAGAATTATGCATATAATTTTTATATATACTTATAATGCAAGAAAAACAATACATATAAGAGTTTGACAGGGTGACCCTCCTGAAGTCTGGTTACATGATGATTGATGATTTACACTCTGCTGGATACATGATGATAGATGATTAACATCCTATCACATCAACTAGCATAATATTTTATTTCATAATATGAAGTGACTTTTATCGTATTTTTTTTTGAATCAGCCTTTCTTTTAATAAAACTTCTTTTTCTTTTTATTTGTATTATTTTCTACTTAATGTAACTTGCTTTTCTTTTTGTTTTTAAATCAATTTTTCTGCCAAATGAAACTTACTTTATAGTACAAGGCCAAATTTTTAGTTTTCATTCTATGTTATTTACTAATACTAATAAATTTGCTTCTTTTTTTAAAGAAAAAAAAAAATACAAAAAAAAATATCTGTTATTAAATAAACTGCATTATTTATAATGAAATAGTCATGACTATTGTAATCTTAATTATGAGAGAGTTATAGTATTGAATATATGTTCCAGATATAACAATTCAAAAATAATAATTAATATAATTGCATTAATGAATTTCAATATAATCATACTAAATAAATTCTATTTGATATTAAAAATTTGAAAGGTTGTCTCAATGTATTTTGCAACTCAGCTTTTATAAGTTTTTCAAAACAATAAACTTATAAATTTCATAATTAATTTATTTGTTATATATATAAATAAAAAATGAGTGTAAAATTAAATTAAATATCTTTATATATATTAATAATTTGATTTTATATATTGTAATAATTTTAATATTATTAATGTATTGTTTTTTTGTTAAATGTATTGTTATTTTTTTATTCAATAAAATATTTAATTGTACATATAATGAAGGCATATGGTAAATTTTCAAATATATATACATTATTCTTTTTATTCCTATTATAATTATGCTTTATAATCTTATTTATATAAAAGAAATATTTTGTATATATATTAATTAATACTTCCTAGGAACTTTTCATTGTTTGAACAATAAAACTTCTTAAAATCAACACTGATAAATACTAGAACAATGCAATGTACATTTCTTTTTAATATGTTACTATACAAATATATAATCAGTTTTTTTGTATTAAGATACCTGTTTTTAATTTAATTAAACATAATTGGACAATTACCACTTTGTAATATTAGTTTTAGTAACATCAGTTCTTGTAGTATCAATAGTTAAAATAAAATTGTAATCAATAATAACATATAATAAAGAGATATAGTTTTATATTTTTATCCTAATACATACAATTAAATCTTAAAACTTGGATTTAATAATACAAATTTATTATATAAATTTTGAGAAAGCATTATGCATTAACCAATTTAATATTTGAATTTAATATTGCAATAAATCTGAATAATTGTGATAAATTCATATTAATAAATTCAGTTCTAAACTTTACATACAATTACATATTAACCAACTTCACAATAGTGAAAAATATTTGACTATTTGTATAAATATTAGATGTTTCTTTATTATAAACAAGACTCCAAGAACAAAATTATCTTCCTCCAAAATTTACAGACTTTTTGATATTTAAATATTGTTAGACCTGAAACACATGATCAATGAATTACTAATTTTAGCATAAGATTATCATTGCATGATTGGCAATTATGATTTTGCCTTGGCTAGAAAGATCACACAAAAGTTGGAATCTTATGCTTATAATGATTATAATGTGTATATTGCATATATTGATTATAATTAGTATAATCAATATATGTGATATAAGCACTATCATTAATATAAGTGTGATAATAGATATTAGCACTCTAACAATAGATAGAATTTTGCTTATAAATAATCTGTAATTTCATTCTAGTAATAAGGCAGATTTTGACATAAGAAATTAATAAACACTCTATCTTGCATACATCAAATAAAGGTTCTTCTGTGAGTGACTGTAGAGAACCATTGTTATAATAAAATACTTACCCATAATATTAATAAATCCTACCCCTGTTAGTACAGTATATCCTGAAGTAGTGTGAAATACTACAATTCTAGAATAGTAGAGTGATAGTCTCAACATGGTGTAGATTATCCAAGATAAGCCAGACCTGAATTGAAATTGCTTGCCAAATCTACACACCTCTTTTCACAGAAACTGATGAACATTACATGAAGCCAACCTTCGATTAGTGACAGACTCACTGAGTTAGAGCATCTCAATATATATAATTTACAAATTAGTTTACATCTAAATAAAATATTGCAGTAATTGTAAAGTTAATTGTTCAGATGCCCAGATTGTTTGGGATATTTGTTATCATAAAACCTGTTTTAAATGTAAAAAGAATCATAATTGAAGAAGAAACCTGAATATTCAAACAATAATTACAAATTTAGCCAATCATGTTAAATTAGCCAAACATATTAAATTAGCCAACTATGTTGAATCATTTAACTATTTTAAATCAATTAATTATGTTGAACTGACTGATTATATTAAATTGAATGATCATACTAGTTATTTTAAAATTATTAACCAAGAAACAGAATAGATGAATAATGTTGAATGTGTAGAAATTGATTATACTAAAGTGGGTGATTTTATTGCAAATAAGATCCAAGAGTTATCAAAAAATATAGATACTGATAATGAAGCTAATATGATCTATAAGATGCAATTTTTAGTAAAAATGAATATAGATACTCAAAATATAACAGAAAAAGAAATTGCTGAACTTATCATTATTGAAGTTAAAAATAGATGTAATTATTCGTAGATGTAAGTTAGTGTATTCTTTTTCTTTTTAAAATTTTTTTATTTTTTTTAAATATATTTATATATATAATTTTTATTTTTTGTTTATTTATTTATTTATTTTTCATTTTTTTTTTTCTCCATTTTTTTCTTT